CATTTTGGAAAAAATCATCAAAAACGCTTTAAACTAATTTGAATAATATTTGTTGTTGATCTATATGAGAAAATAGATTTAAAAAGTTCCAATTATGGGCCAAAAATTTACCCCCCCCCTTGTTTCAAACCTAATTTACATCATTAATTGAATTCTGTTGTTTAATTTCAGATTGGTAATGAATTATGAATATGAAATACATGTACCTATAAGATCGAGGCCCATGGGTCACATGTTCACTTGAGAATATTATGCTCAATTTGATGAATACGTGGAGGCCCTATTATGTAAATTATTGAATTATATTGACTTTTTCTTTGGTAAAGCCTAATTTTAGAGGAGTGTGCATTTAGAGGCAAACACCTTAGTGCGGGTATTACTGTCTCATGACAGCATCTAGTATTTGGATGAATTTGGTTTTAGACTTTGCCTTAATTTATTTGCAGATGATGTTAATTGAGGTGAGCTATGTTTTTTTAGGTCACCTGAGTAAAAACTCAGGTGACCTATTGCTATCCGTTTTTAGCTCACCTGAGCTGAAAGCTCAAGTGAGCTTTCTGATCACCCGGTGTCCGTTCGTCGTCCCCGTCCGTCCGTGCCGTCCCGTCCGTCCTTGTAAACTTTTCACAATTTCAACTTCTTCTCAAGAACCACTGTGCAATTTTAACCAAACTTGGTACAAGACTCCTTGGGTGAAGGGAAATTTAAATTGTTAAAATCAAGGGCCAAGACATCTTCAAGGGGAGATAATCAAGAAAATACGAAAATAGGGTGGGGTCATTAAAAAATCTTCTTCTCAAGAACCACTGGGCCAGAAAAAGCTGAAATTTATGTGGAAGCATTCTGGGTAGTGTAGATATTAAATTTTAAAATCATGACCCTGTTGTGAATTATAGATATAAGTGCTTTTCTTATTTACCTTTGTCAATATAATCATGTTTATGTAAGTGACTTTTGCCGAACTATGACGTCGCAGTACTATGACGTCATAGACGTTGCTATAACGTTATGTTATATACTTGTTAAGTTTCAAATAAACCACTATACGGTTCAGATGTGTTTTCTATGAGTGCTACAATCTTGACATTGGTGCCGTGACCAAATTGAGATTATTTTGGAGACATTAGAGGACAAACAGGAAATTATCAGAGATCTGGATGAAAAAATTCTAACAGAAACAGCAGAGGAGGATATTGAAGAGAAATACTGGAGACAGATCAGTTCAATTTTGAATCTTAATTCTAAAATGAGGAAATGTAAGAAACATTTCTTGGAACAAAATGCACAGCAGTTTCTTAGATAAAGATGAGAATTCACAATTAGGAGGGAATAGTCAATCAAGACACAATTTCAGTGAATACAAGAACTCAGCAGTCCCTTACAAGCTTTCATTCAAATCCAAACAGTGGTAACAGGAGATACAACGGCTCAAATCATTAAGAGAGACACCTCAAAGGAAACTTCAACAAGTGGGAGAAAATATTCACTCAGATGTAGAGCAGCAGAGAGAAACTCCAAGAGATCAAATAACTGGTTTGATGAGGGAGTCAGAGATATCCAAGAAACTAGAAAACATTCATAAGTATAACCTAGAACAGAGGTACAGAGAAAAAGGAAAAGATGAACATTGTCAACCAACTGGTAAAGGAACAAACCCCTACACCAAAGAGGCCAGCAATTAAATCAGAATTATACAAGGATAACAAAGTTCATGGCATGCAGATTGTTGACTTCAAGAGGATTTTGGGGATGACACCAATATCAGGCAACAGGAGAAAACATTTAAAACTTCAGAGATGGAGAGGACATACAGTCAGAACCTCATCGATACGGGATAGATCGCAGAGATGAAGAGGAGGGTGAAGATTTTGGATCATCAGATTGATCAGCATAAGGAGCAAATTCAAGACAAGGAGAATGCATTCATAAATATTGGGAATTTGAGTAAAGGGGAAGGACGATTTCTTGTAAGACTTTGTTCATAGGTGATGGTACCAAACTCAAAGCAAGAGGAAATCCAAACTTAAACCTAGTGTAAGAGCGTTACATTTCAAGTGACATTGCGAATAACTTTTCAAGAATTTTTCATTATCATTCATTCAAATTCCCTTTTATTTCTCGGTCCAAAGACTTACGAATTCATCTTTGGTGGGCCGGATAATGTTTGAAATTGGCACTTTGGTGGGGGGAGAATGTTGTGAATTATAGATATAAGTGCTTTTCTTATTTACCTTTGTCAATATAATCATGTTTATGTAAGTGACTTTTGCCGAACTATGCGTCGCAGTACTATGACGTATAGACGTTGCTATAACGTTATGTTATATACTTGTTAAATTTAAATAAACCACTATACGGTTCAGATGTGTTTTCTATGAGTGCTACAATCTTGACAACCCCCAGGGGTAGGGCGGGGCCACAATAGGGAATCCAAGTTTTACATAGAAATATATAAAAAAATTTTAAAAATCTTCTTCTCAAGAACCACTACCAGAAAAGCTTAAACTTACGTGGGAGCATCCTTGGGTAGTGTAGATATTAAATTGTAAAAATCATGACCCCCAGGGGTAGGGCGGGGCCACAAAAGGGAATCCAAGTTTTACATAGAAATAAATAGAACAAATCTTTAAAAATCTTCTTCTCAAGAACCACTGGGCCAGGAAAGCTGAAACTTATGTGGGAGCATCCTTGGGTAGTGTAGATATTAAATTGTAAAAATCATGACCCCCGGGGGTAGGGCGGGGCCACAATAGGGAATCCAAGTTTTCATAGAAATATATAGAACATACATTAAAAATCTTCTTCTCAAGAACCACTGGGCCAGGAGAGCTGAAACTTATGTGGAAGCATCCTTGGGTAGTGTAGATATTAAATTGTTAAAATCATGACCCCCGGGGGGAGGGCGGGGCCACAATAGGGAATCCAAGTTTTACATAGAAATAACAGAACAAATCTTTAAAAATCTTCTTCTAAGAACCACTGGGCCAGGAGACTGAAACTTTTGTGGAACATCCTTGGGTTGTAGATTTAAATTGTAAAAATCATGACCCCCAGGGGTAGGGCGGGGCCACAATAGGGGTTCAATTTTACATAGAAATATATAGAACAAATCTTTAAAAATCTTCTTCTCAAGAACCACTGGGCCAGGAAAGCTGAAACTTATGTGTGAGCATCCTTGGGTAGTGTAAATATTAAATTGTTAAAATCATGACCCCCGGGGGTAGGGCGGGGCCACAATAGGGAATCCAAGTTTTACTAAAATATATAGAACAAATCTTTAAAAATCTTCTTCTCAAGAACCATTTGGGGCCCGGAGAGCTGAAACATATGTGGGAGCATCCTTTGGTAGTGTAAATATTTAAAATTTTAAAAATCATGACCCCCGGGGGGGAGGGGGGGGCCACAAAAGGGAAACCAGTTTTACATAGAAATATATAGAACAAATCTTTAAAAATCTTCTTCTCAAGAACCACTGGGCCAGGAAAGCTGAAACTTACGTGGGAGCATCCTTGGGTAGTGTAGATATCAATTTATTAAAATCATGACCCCCGGGGGTAGGGCCGGGCCACAATAGGGAATCCAAGTTTTACATAGAAATATATAGAACAAATCTTTAAAAATCTTCTTCTCAAGAACCACTGGGCCAGGAAAGCTGAAACTTACGTGGGAGCATCCTTGGGTAGTTTAATATTAAATTGTAAAAATCATGACCCCCGGGGGTAGGGCGGGGCCACAATAGGGAATCCAAGTTTTACATAGAAATATATAGAACAAATCTTTAAAAATCTTCTTCTCAAGAACCACTGGGTCAGGAGAGCTGAAACATATGTGGGAGCATCCTTTGGTAGTGTAAATATTAAATTGTTAAAATCATGACCCCGGGGGTAGGGCGGGGCCACAATGGGAATTCAAGTTTTACATAGAAATATATAGAACAAATCTTTAAAAATCTTCTTCTCAAGAACCACTGGGCCAGGAAAGCTGAAACTTATGTGTGAGCATCCTTGGGTAGTGTAAATATTAAATTGTTAAAATCATGACCCCGGGGGTAGGGCGGGGCCACAATAGGGAATCCAAGTTTTTCTCAGATGGATGTTCTAGAACAAATCTTTAAAAATCTTCTTCTCAAGAACCATTGGGCCAGGAGAGCTGAAACATATGTGGGAGCATCCTTTGGTAGTGTAAATATTAAATTGTAAAAATCATGACCCCCGGGGGTAGGGCGGGGCCACAATAGGGAATCCAAGTTTTACATAGAAATATATAGAACAAATCTTTAAAAATCTTCTTCTCAAGAACCACTGGGCCAGGAAAGCTGAAACTTATGTGGGAGCATCTTTGGTTAGTGTAGATTCTAAGTTGTAAAAATCATGACCCCCAGGGTAGGGCGGGGCCACAATAGGGAATCCAAGTTTTACATAGAAATATATAGAACAAATCTTTAAAAATCTTCTTCTCAAGAACCACTGGGCCAAGAGAGCTGAAACTTATGTGGGAGCATCCTTGGGTAGTTTAATATTAAATTGTAAAAATCATGACCCCCGGGGTAGGGTGGGGCCACAATAGGGAATCCAAATTTTACATAGAAATATGTATAGAACAAATCTTTAAAAATCTTCTTCTCAAGAACCACTGGGTCAGGAAAGCTGAAACTTATGTGGAAGCATCCTCGGGTAGTGTAAATATTAAATTGTTAAAATCATGACCCCCAGGGGTAGGGCGGGGCCACAATAGGGTTTTACATAAAAATATATAGAACAAATCTTTAAAAATCTTCTTTTCAAGAACCACTGGGCCAGGAAAGCTGAAACTTATGTGGAAGCATCCTTGGGTAGTGTAGATATTAAATTGTAAAAATCATGACCCCCGGGGGTAGGGCGGGGCCACAATAGGGAATCCAAATTTTACATAGAAATATATAGAACAAATCTTTAAAAATCTTCTTCTCAAGAACCACTTGGCCAGGAAAGCTGAAACATATGTGGGAGCATCCTTGGGTAGTGTAGATATTAAATTGCTAAAATCATGACCCTCGGGCGTAGGGCGGGGCCACAATGGGGAATCCAAAGTTTTACATAAAAATATATATAGAACAAATCTTTTAAAAAGATCTGCATCACCCAAGTTATTCAGGTGAGCGATGTGGCCCATGGGCCTCTTGTTGTCCGTTGTCGTCCGTCGTCCGTCGTGCGTTGTGCGTCGTGCGTTAACATTTAAACATTTTCAGCTTCTTCTCTGAAACCACTGAACCAATTTCAACCAAATTTGGCATATAGCATCTATGGGTGAAGGGGAACAAAAATTGTGAATTTCATGGTCCCCGCCCCCCTGGGGCCTGGGGGGTGGAGCAAAAACCACTAAAAATAGTGCAATCTTTAAAAATCTTCTTCTTTACTCCCCGACATCAAGCAATCAAACTGTTGGTATGATTGTAATCAACATTGAGTCCTCTACCAAAATTGTGAAATTCATGGCCCCAGGGTCAGGGGTTCTGGTGTTAGGGCGGGGCCCTATTGATTATATAGTGAAAATGCAGTAAGTCTGTAAAAATCTTCTTCTCTGCTCTTGGGTATTAAATAAACAAATTAAGTTCATAGTTATGATGAGCAAGAGTGCCTCTACCAAAATTGTGAAATTCATGGCCCCAGGGTCAGGGGTTCTGGTGTTAGGGCGAGGCTCTATATTGATTATATAATGAAAATGCATTAAATCTTTGAAAATCTTCTTCTCTGCTTCTAATTAAATAAACTAATTCAGTAAATAATTATGATGTGAGCAAGAGTGCCTCTACCAAAATTGTGAAATTCATGGCCCCAGGGTCAGGGGTTCTGGTGTTAGGGCGGGGCTCTATATTGATTATATAATGAAAATGCATTAAATCTTTGAAAATCTTCTTCTCTGCTCCTAGGTATTAAATAAACTAATTCAGTAAATAATTATGATGAATGAGCGAGAGTGCCTCTACCAAAATTGTGAAATTCATGGCCCCAGGGTCAGGGGTTCTGGTGTTAGGGCGGGGCTCTATTGATTATATAATGAAAATGCATTAAATCTTTGAAAATCTTCTTCTCTGCTCCTAGGTATTAAATAAACTAATTCAGTAAATAATTATGATGAATGAGCAAGAGTGCCTCTACCAAAATTGTGAAATTCATGGCCCCAGGGTCAGGGGTTCTGGTGTTAGGGCGGGGCTCTATATTGATTATACATGTATAATGAAAATGCATTAAATCTTTGAAAATCTTCTTCTCTTCTCCTGGTTATTAAATAAACTAACTAAGTAAATAATTATGATGAGCAAGAGTGCCTCTACCAAATTTGTGAATTTGATGGCCCATGGGTCAGGGGTTCTGGTGTTAGGGCGGGGCTCTATATTGATTATATAATAAAAATGCATTAAATCTTTGAAAATCTTCTCTGCTCCTAGGTTTTATATAAACTAACTAAGTACATAGTTATGATGAGCAAGAGTGCCTCTACAAAAATTGTGAATTTTATGGCCCCAGGGTCAGGGGTTCTGGTGTTAGGGTGGGGCTCTATTGATTATATAGTGAAAATGCATTAAATCTTTGAAAATCTTCTTCTCTGCTCCTAGGTTTTAAATAAACTAACTAAGTACATAGTTATGTTGAGCAAGAGTGCCTCTTCCAAAATTGTGAATGCCTTAGCATCTAGCTTAAAACGTGAAACAAATTCAATCATTTGAAAGTTGTTGCATGATGCTCAGGTGACCTATAAGGCCCATGGGCCTCTTGTTTAATTGCTGAATTGTAATATGTTTTAAGGGTATAGCTGACTGTGCAAAACCCAAGGTCATCCCAAAACCAGATATATATCAGCCTATGGTACAGCAAGTAACAGACCTAAAACCATACACCCACTACATTGTTAAAGTGGCAGCAGTGAATGGAGAAGGTGAAGGACGCTTTGATAATGCAACAGCAAAGACTGAGGAAGAAAGTAAGCAATCACATGGATGGTTTAACACTTCATAAATTGTATGCATTTTTAGAGTTGCAAAACAAGACCTATAGACTTTTCTAAGATGATGACTCACAAGAAATTTAATCTTTTGGTGGTGTCAAATTAATCACCTTATTACCCTAAAGTTTTTTCGTAGCATAAAACTTTTTCCCCTCATTGTGAAAAATGTCTTGTTAATTGGAACAATTATTATTTAATTCTTTTATTATTCAGCTCCACAAAAACCTGGAAATATAAAAGCAACTAATATAGAGGCCAAGACTCTGACATTGTCCTGGGATGTAGCAGGTCCCCCACCTGGCAACACAACATACACTTTAGAAGTGTATGAAGGGACGGATGATACTGGAACAAACTTTACCCCGAAACAACCAAATCTGTATGCATACGGTGTGTATTCTTTTCACTAGAGTATATCAAGAAACAATTATTGTTCAATACACTAAGTTACCAGAATTTGCCAACTCAATTCACTAATGTTTATCAAAAAGAAAAAATACAAGGTATGCCAATGATCTTTTTCAGTAGATTGAACAAGATGTGTTTGTGAAAAAAGTATGCCCCATATGCTGGCCTTTAAGTAACCTTTAAAATTTAGGTGACAGTTGGTTCATAATCCTAAAGATCTAGTGGCTTATGCAAATTTTTAGGTGCCTGGCAAATTTTTAGTAGACACCAGATCTTTAAGCCAATAGAAGTCTTTAAACAAAGAGTGTGTCTTGTGCCCTGGTCAATTTTAAAAGCGGAATAGTGTAACAAGTCCACCACTTAGTTAGAATAGTTATATTCAAAAAGTGTAAATGGATCATTTTGTTTAATAGTTTAAAGTGCACTTTATTGCAGTATTATTTTTAGAAAAAGTTATCAAGGGAGCAAAATTCTGTTGTTTTGAATTTACTATCAACTCACGATGGAGGTGGAGGTTTAGTGATATACATTAGGATGGGTGGCTTGTCGCATATCTGCGGTGATTTTCTTTGATCTTTCTGTGGTGATATATCCCACATCACATATGCTATAATACTTTCAATGCCCCTTCATTTATCACAGCAGGAGGCAGAAATCAGGTCATGAGAAAAAAAACTGATTTTATTTCACAAGTTCATAACTACAGAAAAATGAACATGTTTAGCTATTTCTTAGCCTTTAACTAATTTAAAATGCGTGTATTTAACTCGGTTGGAAATTCCCAGTCATTAAAAAGATTAATCTATTTTGAAATTTTGAAAGTTACGGTAATATCTCCAAACGTTATATAAACTCCTTGATATTTGCATCTGTGATTTCATATTTGTCGAGTGCCTGGCTCGAAGATAATTTGTCAAAATCTTAAAACTCAGTAAAAAAGTCAAATCAAATTCACTAAGAACGTCCAACATGTTGAAGAGCTTGCTTGAAATGAATTTTAAGTTCATGACACGCTGAATATTTTTTTTATTGAATTTTGACACTCTCAATGAAATTTACGTCATCAGACATGAGACAAGTTGCTGACATCATAGATGTCTCGTACTATTGGTTATATCGTTTTCATACCCTCAATGTCCATGCCCCATGAAAACGATATAACCAATACTACTTGGCTTGTATGATGTAACCTATACTAGTTTGTCCTTGTGTGTTTAACAGAAGTTAATTTGCATCAGATCCATGTCAAATGCTACCTTGATTTATAGATATACTCTTTTGTTAGGCTATGCTCCACTATACAGGGCACTTGTTTGTTTGTAGATCTAAGGACAGATCACTTTAACTTCATTAACAATTAAACTGCAATTAGAACTCTTAACTGCAAAATATAGAGGGTCCTTTACTGGAAAAAATAAAGAATCTACTTTAACAATGTTTTACATCTTAATTTAGGTTTTCACCAGAAGTCATTGTCCATAACTGATCTGGAGGAATACTGGCCGTACAAGTTCAAAGTTATTGCTGCTACAGTTAAAGGGACTAGTGAATCAGATGTATCAGATATTGTCAGAACGAAGCAAGCAGGTTTGTCTTTCATTAATATAATACATAATTAGGACCCCGCTTGGCGGGCGCCCTATAGTGATCAGTCTGTCCGTCTGTCTAGCTGTCCGTCTGTCAGTCCATCCGAGATCTCTTGTCCAGAGCATATCTCCTCTCTACTTGGCCTAATCTGGCTCATACTACACCTATAGAGTGCCTTTGGGTAACCGGTGTGCAGTGACCTTGAACCATGTTTCTAGGTCAAAGGTCAAGGTCATAGCAGAATTTTATGAAAAATCCTTGTCCAGAACGAATCTTCTCTCCTTGGCCCAATCTGACTCATACTTCACCCACAGAGTGCCTTTGGGTAACAGGTATGCAGTGACCTTGAACCATGTTTCTAGGTCAAAGGTCATAGTAGAATTTTATAAAAAATTCTTGTCCAGAACATATCTTCTTACTCCTTGGCCCAATCTGGCTCCTACTTCATCCACAGAGTGCCTTTGGGTAACCGATGTACAGTGACCTTGAACCATGTTTGTAGGTCAAAGGTCAAGGTGATAGCAGAATTTTATGAAAAATTCTTGTCCGAAGCATATCTTCTCTCTTCTTGGCCCAATCTGGCTATTACTTCACTCACAGAGTTCCACTGGCCAATGGATGTGCAGAGACCTTGGTCGAAGTTTCTAGGTCATGGTCAGAATTAGCCTTTCTGTTTAAAATCTTTGTTTGGTTCATAATTTTTTCCCTTTAATTCCTGTATATTTATATAACTGGGGATACAAGATAAATATCGATATATATATGAAAATTTGCAATATCCGTGAAGACGTACTAAATGACTTTTACTGTGTTACACAAATGTTCCCCTTCAAAACCCTTTTAAACCACCTTACATTTTCATGTTCATTGTTGAAAGCGGGGCCCTTTTAGATGGCCACCATCTCAATGATATTTAGTTCTTCTTTACTTTGGAAATAAATTCTTGGTTTAGACTAACAATTTATTTATAAGGTAAATAATATATAGAATGTGTTAGGGATTTATCTGACCTGATATAAAATGCTATGTTAGTGCTATACTTTCTTGGGCACTTGAGTCTTACCAGTTGACATGTATAATATCCCTAGGTAGAACAATTCAGATTTATTTCTCAGTTTCAAGTCTGTTCAGATCATGACCCCACAGTTTAGGGTTTGGCCACAGTAACTTTTTAGGGAATAAAAATTTAATCTAAAGACATTCCAAATTTATGCTGATTTAAGTTAATTTAAATTACTGAAGCATGAGGTAAGAGCAGACTTTCCTTCCTCTGAAGATTAATCATATATTATTGATATTAATTAGCATCCCATTGATTTTGGATATAATTTTGGTTATGTTCAAAGCTCTTTGAGGCTTCAATGTTGACATATATATTGTTGTTCTTTCTTCTTTTGGCATGTAGCACCAGGACCAGTGGAAAACTTGACTGTCAATATTAAAGAGGGGAACTACAGAGTGGCATATGCATATTGGAACATTCCATCACTGAGGGACCGGAATGGTGTCTTAGATAACTATAATGTCAAAGTCATTAATCAAGGGGTAATTAGTTTGACATACATGATTATTTAAGATAGCTTTTTTTAAATCACATGATTGTACTAAAGATGTTAGATTTTATCAAATTTAAGAAAATACCAGTTGTTAGACTTCTTTTTTTGACGAAGTATTGCATACAGGCTACATGTAACTCATTTGTCAACAATATTACTCCTAACATCTTTCTAGATGAAACTATCTTGCAGAACAATTGTATACATATAAGAGATGTGCATATTACATGGACTTTATTTTTTGATAAAATAGAGAAAAATACCAGTTGTTGAAGTAAGTCATTTTTAACTAAACATTGCATAAGATTCCCCAATTTCACTATCATTGTTAAAATTATAATGTGTGTCAGTAAAGGAGGAAAAAAGTATATCTGGACTGGGAATCATTGCTTTACCCACTAAGCTATCTACATGTATTACCCAAACCATTGCAAAGGTAAACAAAAGGGATGTAAACAAGTACCCCGTTAACCGGGTACTCGATCGAGCATCCGAGTATCAAATAATAAAATCTGTACTCAGTTACTCAAATATATATTTTTTGTATATTTTTAAGCTTATTTATTAATGCATTAAAACATTGGTTTTAAGATGTAAAATGTTCATTGCACTTTTACATACAGTAATTAAGGTTTCCTATGCCTCTAAATGACCGCTTTTGCCCGTGGCAGTGTTTATCAGGGGATGACAAATCCCATTGCCCGACGCCCGGGGCTAGTGAATTTTAGGGGTGGGCAAGTGAAATTTTATCAACCACTTGCCCGTGGGCAAGAGACTTATCAAAAATAGAATTTATTTGTAGGCCATAAATTTAAAGCTGGGCATAGGGGCTTGTATGATTTACTCAGCATTTGTCTTCCTCTTTTTTGAAAAAAATATCTATAAATACAGAATTAGTTTATGGTAGGGCAAGCAAAAATTCAGGTAGGGCAAGTCAATTTTGACCATGTACTTGCCCTTGGACAAGTGCCTTAAAAATCTATTTGTCAGCCTCTGGTTTATACAGTAATTATTGTGGCCAAGCACCTGTTACCTGGATCGGAAAAACGTCCGAGGAATCGAATATCAAAAATTGACCGATTTGACATCCCTAGTAAACAATGAATGGATTTTAACTGAATTCTTTACCTTAGATTAAAGTATTTGACTTTCTTTAATTTTACAGACTCTGTATACATATAAGAGATGTGCATATTACTTGGACTTTAATTTTTGATAGAATAGAGAAAATATACCAGTTTTTGTAGTAAGTCATTGTAAAAAAAAAAAAATATATATTGCTAAAGATTACCTAATTTCACTTTTATTGTGAAAAAATATATAATGTGTACCAGTCAAGGAAGGAACATATGGCTGTACTAAGAATCGACCCCCATCACAAGTCCGTGCTTAAGTGATCAAGTTAGTTATCCATTACCCAAACCATTGCATAGGTAAACGATGAATCAAAAACTGAACTCTAAGATTAAAGTATTTGACATTTTTTTCTTTTACAGACAGAGATATTATCAGAAACAATACCAGTCTCCTCAATACAACGTGTTGAACAAAATTTTACAGTTGTACCAGAGGAAACATATACAGTAACAGTAAGTCTTAATCAAAAAATCTTAGAATTTGCTTAGAAATCATTTAGACTTCAATTTTTTTTAATAATATTGCCTATTCACATGTAGGGATTTCATGATGATATAGATTAAAGGCTGTTTTTATGCCCTTTCATGAATATTGCCTAGAATATACATAGACTAGTAGTAGTCATGTCCATCTTCCATCCCTTTGTCTGTCCTAGCCTGTTTTTAGCTTTTAACCAACTACAGTTTAAAAAAATATAACTGATTAATTGTCAAGATATTTTAAACTTCATATGCTTAATATTGAATGCACTATATTATTACCATATCTTGATGCATAATTAGTGAGAGGCATTCAACAGTATCTTTACTTTTTTGTCCTTATCTCTAATTTTCTTTCAATATTTCTTTTTTATTAATTAAGCCTTATATTTAAATACTAGTAAATGATATAGAGTTTTATCAAATAATATGATTGTTAAGTATATCATTATAAAATTATACTTTTCAACAATATGTTTCAAAGATAATAAAGACTGCATGGTTTCCTTGTTTTAAAGGTATCTGCCACAAATAATGAGAGTATGTCAGGTCAGGAAGCCCAACATCCCTACAGAGTACCTGCTGGCAGTGAGTATTCTTGTGCTTTAGCTCGTATTAAATTTTATTTTGATTTATGAAATTAGACAATTTCATTGTAAGCTTTGAATTGTTACTCACCTGAGCTGAATGCTCAAGTGTGCTCATTGGTCATATTTTGTCTGGCGTACTAGTCTTTTTTTCCATTTGTTAAATTTTTCACATCCTTGACTTCAGAACCATTAAGTTAAATTTCATCTAAACTTACCTCAAAGCATTCATGGTTTAACATAATGTTTGTACAAATAAAGGTCCTTGTGTTTTCTTCAATGGGGAGATAATTATGAATTTGTGAAAAATTAATGGCATCTTTTAGAATCAACTCTTATTTTTACAGATAATATGATACATTTTCATCTGTTTTATGACATAACTTCGTTTTATTCACTTTCACCTTAGAATAGTTCATAAAGCAGTAGAATGGAAACATTCTTGTTTTGCCCACTTCTAGGTCCTCCAATAGACTATAGTGTAGACTTGATAAGTACTAAACCAGGTCAACACAAGTCGACACAGCAATCCATCACAGTAGAACTCAACACAGATTTCTTCAAAAATGATTTAAATGGAAATCAAGTTCTGTTTGGAATAACTGTGTGTGAAGAATCTAAATGTAAAAGTAAGTAAAACTCACCACAATCTTAATGAATTTAGATATTAATTAGATATATAATAATCAAATTTTATTTAAAATTTCTCAAATTTTAGATCAAGGATCATTAGATAGGAAAGAAGATTGGGCGGGGCTGCCAAACTGGCATGGTGCCAGTAAAAATGGATTTCCGTTATACAGAGTCACAAATGACAAATACATGAAAGAAATCAGGAGTAGAGGTACTTCTCTCAACTATATATATTTTGTTTTCTTGATTTTTTGTGCTAACACACTTGTTTCCATCTGTCACTATCTAAGTGGTGTGTCTATAAATTGCAAATATTTTAACACTTTAGTCTCATTTCTTAACATGGTGTTTCCAAATTTCAAGGTGTTAATAATGTTGCCAAATTTAATGAGGGAACACATGTTGCCAAATTTGATAAGGGGAAGATATATATTAAACTTAATTCTATTGTTTCACTCTTTTAGAGCCTGACACAGACACCAACTATATGCATATTCCACCAATTAGATATATAGAGGATATCTATATTGTGTGATTTGATATTGGCTTTATCCAACGAGTTGTTGAAATGGTGTATATATTCGCGAGGCTTGCCGAGCGAATATACACCATTTCAACGAGTTGGATAAAGCCAATATCAAATCACAAAATTATAGATGTTCTATTTATCTCATACGACTTTCATTTTAACAAAACTTTGAGACTTCCCCTGCGAAACTACATGAATGATTGCTAAATTTATATTGATGACGTACAACTTGATGAAGTAGCACCGTTGATGTTGACATCCCTCGAAAGAAAGTAGATCTTGTTCAAAATCTAGAATTTTTGCTATCTGCGTCTTTGAAAACATTATGTGACAATTGCTGGCACTTTACATCAAATGAACTTCTGACTGATAGTTGTAAGGACCATGGGATTTTGAAAATGGACTCTTTGAACGATGGCAGTACAAAACGTGTTAGGCAAGGCTAGGGGCCTACTTGTAGATTCATTGTTGATCCAATGTAAGTTACACCTATATTACTACGTAGGCATACGTAGTATAATATTGAAGATGTTTAAGGAATCTTATAACAACAACTTAACTGCTAGGCTTTACTTACTCCGATAACGATTTAAAAGGGGGGTGTTAACATCTGTCTTCAAGTGCCAATACAGGTTCCTTGATAAAATAAGACACTTCTTTGACATATACGAGTCTTTTTTCTGGCTTTTAACGAAATTATCGCTCTTTATCGTTCATTTTATTAGGGCAATAATTTTCACAAATAAAAGTTTGATAAAATAAAATTTTGAAGCGAGAGGGATCGTGTCAAAACCGGAAGTGCTATTGATAAAGCATCTACCCGTTGATAAAGCATAAGTTTATCCAACGACCTGTATCACCAACACGTATGAGATAAAAAAAAAAAAAATAATGGGTTAATTAAGGAATGAAGCTTAAAAAAATTTTGTTATACGATTTAAGATAACTTGGGGCAGTTTACGCTTTATAAACTGCGAGGCGCTTTTAAGAATCAAAGTACCAAAAGTACTGAAAAGCGGTTAGCATGCTTTCATCGAATATGTACAGTGTACAATAACAAAAAATGCATTGAATGATGATATTAAAGTAGGCATGCATAAAAATAGCTGGCTAGTTTGAGAAAAACGGATGGACAAGCAGAGAATTAATTAATTTCAGAGAGCTTCAGTTTCGTAGGCTCACTGCGGGTCAGCAGGTGTGACCTGTCATTGGGGATGCTTACTTCTGCTAGGCACCGGAACTTTCAAGGATCTGTTTTTCTTTTGAGACCGATCACTGTTCATTCTGTATTTTGATACAGATACTGAGTACATCTGTTTATTAATATTATGAACTATTTCTCTCACAGGAAGAAAGACAAGTAAACAAGATAATAAAGTTTTAAGAAATGTACATTATTGACTTTTCATACAATTAAATGTTCGAATAAGTAGATGGTATATGACAATTATTTAAAAAAAGAGTCTTGCACGATATGTATAAACGAACATATACTGAGTATTTGGCAAATATTTTTCATGAAATATTGTATAAAAAAAAATAAATAAATAAATGAAAAAAAAAAAAAAAGGGTGAAAAGGAAAGTTGTTGTTTAATCCATCAATACTAGTATTTTAAAAATTCAAAGGTTCACTAAAAGTCAGTGTATAACAAACAATTTAATTGTTCATTGCAAGAATTACCTTGGTATCATTATCACTTTCTTCAATATGTCGCATAAGCAATACATTGTTTTTTGTTTTTTTTTTACTAAAAACAAGTATGCGAATTTCTATCAATATGTCTGTAAGCATCTGTATTTTAATTTTTATTTCTTCTCAAAGGCTCAAAATGATAATTAACAAATTGGACAAATTCAAATTTAAAAAGTATTTTTACAACTTATACCTTGCATAGGAATTTAGCAAACTTTCAAAAATAATCATTCATTAGATATAATTTTCAATTTGTGCTTATCGTCAAGATTTTTCATGCCTCTTTTTCTGTGCATATTTTATATCGGCTGATTTTTAGAAAAGGATCGAATGCCGATTAAATTTTTTTCTCCAATTTTTTAAAATTAATTTTAATATTTTCAGGCTCCCATTATTTTTTTTTTAATAAAAATGTGATCGTTTAAACTCGTTTGTAATAATTAGACTGAGTACAGAATTTATCCCTGGAAACAAAGCTTTTATCATCTTTTAAATAATTTCAATTGAGAAAAAAAGGAGAAGAAAACAAACGTTTCATTATGGAAGTAATCCCATAACTGTACAACTTACAGATGTATTCAGTATTTTTATATAAAGGCTTTCTTCGTGTACTAGTATTACTTAAGTTAATTAAAGGGATGCCTTAATATTTTGGAAAATGAAACTCGATCGAGAGATTCTCTGATGTTTTGCAGTCGGTAATAACCTTCAACCCCTTTAGCCAGTAATTAACCCGTCCTCCCTGTATCCAGTAGCATAATTCGGTCAAATATTTATTGTTCATGTGGGGTGCCTTATAATTAATCACAGGCACCTGAATTTTTATCAGTAAGTCTCTAAATTAGCCAAATATCGAAACATTCTACCCCCTCTATATATAAATACACAAGGTGTCCAATGCCATTTTGACCACCTGTTCGATTCAGGCTTCAATTTAACACATAAATCGGAAATGCCTAATGGTTTTCGTGTAGCATTGGGTTCAAATATGATATTTCTCGCTATACATTTCTTCCTAAAGTTTAAATCTAACGCGTTGATAATGTTATCAGCTAAACTTCATGCTGACTTCGAATTTCGTCACAGGGCCCGATCGCCATCAGCTGATGTCACGGAAATTTAATCTCGACACCAAATGCTCCTATACATAAACTTTTTTTAATACAACAATTATAAATTTATTTCATTGACAAACAAAATCAGAAAAAAATTAAAAAACCGAAAGATTATGTTGTTTTGATAGTCTTGATTTTATTTAACATATGTTATATGTGTTGGAAACAAATCATAGGTACTAGGTAGAGGCTTTGTTGAAGTTTCCGTTGTCGATAGGTAGCGCCTTATGGAAGTTTCCGGTGTCGATAAAAATCGGACACATGCCATAAAGCGGTTAGCGAAGCTAACCGCTTAAAAAGAGTAAACTGTAAGTTATGTTATATCAAATAACATAAGTTGAAGTAAGCTTCATTCCTATAATTTAATTTCAGTGTTGACAATGAAACAATTTTTCCTCTGTTAAAAGGCTTCAAATGTAGCATATTTTAAAAGTAACGTCAAGCGGAGTAATATGTTTTTGAAGTAACTCATTGTGACGTAGGCAAGTTTTTGTAGACAAAATTGATCAAATCTTTACCCAATCAAATGATGTATGTGTTACAACTAAAATTAAATTATTCATCTTTAATTAAGGCTTCATATTAAATTATTCATCTTTAATTAAGGCTTCATATTTTTGTAGGATCCAGAAGAAAAAGATCAATATCTGAATTTACCATTGGACAAGATATTGCATGTTCCTCAATGGGTTCTAATGTATACTGTAATGGACCTCTTAATGCTGGACAATCATATAGGTAACTATGGACTCTTCTGTTTAAATAGAAGTCAAAATAATAAAAAAAAAAAAACAATGCAAGGCTTGTTACTCTTTAATCATGTATAAATCAATCAGGGATCAATTTCAATGTATTTCGATGCAAACATTGTACAATGGTAAATTACTATCCCTGACAGATAACACGTTTGATATTACAGTAAATTTGTACATAACAGGCAGAGTAAAATGTCGTCGAGATTGGGACTCGAACCCAAGAAATCCAACTAATGCTATGGGTGCTCTACCACTGAGATAATGGGCTGACTTTATACAGTTGTTGACGGGGGTAGACGGTAACAGTTGATCCTTAGGCCGCTGGCATATCTGGTCCAACAGGTCGACTGTTTCTTGAGACTCCTGTCAGCAACTGTTTTGTTATACTCCTACCAAATCAAATTCATATATTTAACAAAAGTAAAATTGTCTTGGGAGAGAGAGACTTTAATTATCATGTTTATGTGTATAAATTTATCAACCATCATGAATCATAACAGGGACCTATATAGTGTAGTATATAGGTCCGGATCATAACAAACAAGAATTTCATAACAAACAGTTCTAAAGTTACTAGCTAGAACTTGTAGAAGAATACATTTCAATTCTACCTATCTTAACGACGTGTTTATATTACTCGGCACTCCTTTGCTGATTACATTTAAATCACAGCAAGGTTAGCTGAATGAGAAAAACGTAACACAGTTTAGCGCCATATGACATCAGCAGGCAACTCTACAATCTTTTTATACGCCCGTCTTAAGACGGGACGTATTATGTTATAGGCTTCGTGTCCGTCCGTCTGTCTAGCTGTCCGTCTGTCTGTTAGCTTTTTCGTTTCCGGCTCATAACTTTAATACTACTAGGCCTAGGATTATCAAACTTTGTCATCTGATGCATCTTGGGTAGAAGGTGTGTCGCGCACAAAAAGTAGGTCGCTCTGACCTTTAATTAAGAAGTTATAGCCAAATATGGAAAAATCCTTTCCGGCCCATAACTAGAAAACCATAAGACCTACAATCATCAAACTTGGCCAGTTTATGCATCTTAGGTAGAAGGTGTGTCGCGACCTATTTCAAGGTCACTGTGACCTTTAATTTAAGTGAATTTTTTAAAAAAAATGTGTCTTTTGACTATTCATTTACACAACCCAAATAATGTAAGAGTATTGCACTGCTCTTATTAAAAAAGTGTTAAATCAAGAAAATACTTATTTTTTTTAAGCATATACTTGACAGCAATCTAAAACAAATATAATGTATGTTAGAGAAATCCCATGTCTCCCATGAGTGTAATTATCAAGCACTGGTCAAGAAGAATTTTGATAACAGAAAATTGCATATCAAATTAGAGAGAAATTAATGGGTTTTGAGTGCAAGGGGCTAACGGACAGAGTGTTGGCATTATCTATATCCCTTGAGAATTGGGCAAATGGGTAAGCCTGTTTGATTAAGAATAGCTCTTGTTGACTAGCTTAAGTTTTGAAATGAATTTGATGAAAAGTAATTAAAACTAATTTGATATTGCATAATAGACTAATCTGATATTATGTAATATTATTCATTTAAAAACTAATTTAATGGGGTGGGGTTGAATCAGCATGTCCATATGAATTACATACTAAAACCTGTCGGACATTAAATCTCAACCAAAAAAAAAATGTGAGAGTATTTTATATGTTTTTAAAAAAGAATTATAGTAGATAGTGCAGACCCATTCATCTCTTGGTAGTAATGAGTAGACAAGCATCCAGTTAAAGATTAATTAATGAGTTCAATGTAGGAAGGCTAGCTGTCTCAGTCGCTCTGATTAAGCAGCCCTTTGGGGATTAGACAGAAGAACTGCTGGTCAGTTTATAACATTATATGTCATTTGATGGCCAGCCTTTTTTTTCAAAATTAATTTGGAATAGATTAAAGAATTATAGTAGATAGTGCAGACCCATTCATCTCTTGGTAATAATGAGTAGACAAGCATCCAGTTAAAGATTAATTAATGAGTTCAATGTAGGAAGGCTAGCTGTCTCAGTCGCTCTGATTAAGCAGCCCTTTTGGGATTAGACAGAAGAACTGCTGGTCAGTTTATAACATATGTCATTTGATGGCCAGCCTTTTTTTTTCAAAATTAATTTGGAATAGATTAAGTTGTTAAGACTAATTTGATGATGGGCATTTGATAAGGTCTAACACAACCAGCACAGAAATCTATCAGTGATGTAATATTTATTATAATTGATGCCTACATCACAGGGGATGGATAAATATTTTAAGGAATGGAAAAATCATCGAAATCTTAGAATCAAGGTTGATGTGATTTTCTTGCACCTAAACTGTTCAAGAAAATTGTAATTTTTTGACGGGCGTATCATGCTGTGGCGCGGCACTTTATTTAATAGTCAGTTTTTAACATTTCTATGGATCGACAGTCAAGGAAAACAGTTGAACTGTTGGAGTTTTTAATGTAAGAAATTATATAGGGACTGTTTAGTAAGGGTATAACAAACATTAAGTAGAGTGATGTAAGTGTGTTATGTAAACCAATATTTGATAATTGTAGGGTGATTTTATTTGGTTGTACAAATGGAGGATGCTCACACTCAGTCCAATATGGGCCCTATTCAACAGTTAAAATACCAGGTATGTTTTCAACATTTGTTAGCTAGCTAACTTATATAGGTAAATAAGGGAAGCTTAGAATTTTGAAGAAAGATTATTTCATGGTAGATATTAAGTGGAGGACTGTGTATATATATATATATATATATATATATATATATATATATATATATATATATATATATATATATATATATATATATATATATATATATATATATCTTTATTGTCATTTGAATAACTTTAAGCCATAGGGCTCATCAGTATATAAACAAAAACAAATATAAAGACTGAGAGGCGAGAGTCTGCGGGGGGTGGAAACCCTAGTGTCCATCTGTCTGACTCACATACACCAACAAATGCACAATATATTTCAATTTCTCCATTATTACATGAAAAAAGTTTAATTGTAATTAGTCCGAAAAATCTGACGTTTTTCTGGCTTTTTTACGATTTTGATATTTTACATGCCAGGAAAACGTCAGAACCGGCGCCATTACGAAAACCGGTAATTTCACTGTCTCCACCCGAAGTTGATTTTCTATACTTGGGAACCGAGTAAGATGCCGAAATCACAATTTATCAATGGCACATTGCTCCTAGAAGTCACCAATATCGATGAATAAAAATTACCACTCCACATTCCGATTCAGAACTTGCACGATTTAAAAATGCATGAAATGAAAACAATTCTCGACAGTCAGAAAAAATGTGTTCATCGGATTATATTTTTTCATAAACGAAACATAAAAACGATGTTAGTGAGTACTAAAGGTGTTGTACTATTGATAAAATATGAATTCAGCATTTAATTCGGTTCACAAGTATCGAAAATCAACCTCAGAATGCCGCCTCTGGTAGGAGGCGGCGATTTCCCAGTTTTTGTAATGGCGCCAGTTCTGACGTTTTCCTGGCATGTAAAATATCAAAATTGTAAAAAAAAAAAAAAAAGCCAGAAAAACATCAGATTTTTCGGACTAAATTGTAATGTGAGAGTATTTGCCTTTGTCTGCTGTAGATGAGGATAAATTCCCCGTTGGAGCTGTTGTAGGTGGGGTGGTAGCCGCTGTCGCTGTAGTTTTTGTCATCATTATAGCCATGGTGGTCGTTAAACGACGAAGGTAAACATTATATGTATACAGTATTAATTAACTGTCGTCTCTATTTTTTTTTTGTCCAGAAGATTCAGAAGTAATGCATAAAAAGGTAAAAGAAAGGTAATATATTCAATGATGATTGATTAAACAATTCACCAAAAATCCTATTCCACCCTTCTTTTATTACAGTTTTTTTAAAATAAGTTAATTTTTTATTATAT